TATATATATATATATATAAGCATATGTGTTTATGTATATGTGTATATGTGCATTGGTACATTACTATATATCATGTGTATATTGTGGGGTTTTGTTTGTTATCTTTTATTAACCCTGGTGTGCGGGGTCTGTGGGACCCCGCCCACATAAAAAAATAATTTAACCCTGGTGTGCGGGGTCTGTGGGACCCCGCCCACTTAAAAAAAATTAATGAATCACACCCCCCCGGGGGGTCCGATGGACCCCTAAAAGAAAAACAAAAACATAATTTTTTTCAACCCCGAACGACCATCTAACGCGTATGCTTGACTCCTTTTTTGTGTGTGGGGGGTGTAAAAAGTGAGGGATTTACGCAAAGGGGAAAAAAATCCCCCGGGAGACTGCAGCAGCCATGTCGGCGACACCACCGACCCATTGGCATTGGCGAGCCCGTTACGCCGACGCGGAGGCGCGTTCGTTCGTGTGCGTTTTATCCAGGGGTTCGCCTCAGCACGATTCCTTGAGCGACGACGGATCGTCCAGCGGGTGCAACGAGGAAGAAGCGGTCGCCGTAGTTTCAGAAGACGACGACGCGACGACGGGAGGGTCGTCCGACGACGACGACCCTCCTACTTATTCTCCGATGGGACGACAACGAGGGGGGGACGACGACGCGTGGCGAGCCGCCTCGGACCCGTCGCTGCCGCCGCCCTCCTCCTAGACGACGACGAGACGGGGTCCCACCGAGCTGGCCCTGGAGGCCCGAGAGAGCCCCGCGGCCACGTTTGCACTCTTTTTCACGCGCGCCATGGAGGAATCCATGACGTCGGCCACAAACAACGCGGCCGATGCGCCGCGCGGCAGACCCGTAGCGATGAGTCGTGAGGATCTCCGCGTGTACGTTTGCCTGCTGCTGCTGGCGGGCGTGTTCCTCTCGCGAGGCGAATCGTGCGAGAGCCTATGGCACCCGGAAACGGGCCGCAAGGTGTTCGGCGAGACCATGTCCCTCGGACGGTTCCGTGCATACTCGGCCGTGCTGCGTTTTGACGACCGCGAGACGAGGGAGGCTCGGCGCTCCACCGGGGACTGCCTCGCTCCCATCGGCGAGCTGTGGTACGCGTGGACCGAGAGGGTGCAGCTGGCGTACGTGCCCGGCGACGGCGTGACGGTCGACGAGAGGCTGGTTCCGTTCAAAGGCGAGTGAGAAACCGCCACCGTAAAGGCTCCTCCTCCTCTCTTTCGCTCTCTCACCCCATGACTCTCTCTGTTTGTGTGTTTTTCTCTTTTTCTCTCGCGCGCGCATGCAGGCAGGTGCGGTTTCCGACAGTACATGCCGTGCAAGCCCACGCGCTATGGACTCAAGCTGTGGGTGGCTTGCGATGCGCACTCGAGCTACACATGGCGCGTGCAAGCGTACACGGGCAAACGCGACACTGTCGAACGGAACCTGTCGGAGCGCGTGGTCTTGGACCTGACCGAGGGTCTGAGCGCGGGAACCCTCGTGACCACCGACAACTTTTTACCTCGCCGCGGCTGGCCGAGAGGCTGGCCCACGAACGCGGCGTGTACTAGCTGGGCACGATGCGAGCCAACCGCGCCCCGCGAGACCTGCTGCGAGCTCTTCTGCCGGACGACGCGACTCAGATGACCCGATTCGCGTTCAAACGTGACGTCTGCGTCGTGTCGTACGCGCCAAAGCCACGACGGGGAGGTAACAACAACAAGAAGAAAAAGAACGTGCTGCTGCTGACGACCTCGCCCGAGCTGATGCGGCTCCCGACTGCTCGCGACGACAACAAACTGCTCGCGCTGCAGCGCTACAATGCGACCAAAGGCAGCATCGAATACCTCGACAAGGTCACGGCCGCGTAAAGCGTGCGCAGGAGAACGCTCCGGTGGCCCATGGCGCTCTTCCACAACATCCTTGACGTGTCCGCATACAACGCGTTCGTGGTGTGGCGTGAACTGCGACCCGACTGGCTGCCGGGAAAACGCGACCGTCGCAGGCGGTTCATGGAACAGCTGGGGCTCGAGCTGACAGAGGCCGCGCGGCGCAAATGACGACGAGGAGGAGGGGACGAAGAAGAAGAAGAAGAACAACAACAAGAACAAGATCCTCCTCGTCGCGACGACGAGAGACGACGACGATGCAAGCAGTGCAGCGTGTGCCCTCGATCGAAAGATGTTAAAACGCGCGCGAGTTGCGAGTGTTGCGCTTCGCCGATATGCCTGGGCTGCGCCTCGTTACTCTGTCCCTCGTGCGCGCGAGCCGTATGAGCAGGACACGGCCTTATTTATATATTGTAATGTTTTTTCTTTTCCTTTTGAGAAAAAAAATAAACAACAACAACCCACCCCGAAAATCAGCCGCCGCAGATGCGCTGCGCTCTTCTCGATTCACACCCAGGGGTGTGCACGACAACGACAGGGAGATTGTGTTGTTTTCATATGATAAACAACAACCCACTCGAAAACCAACCAATAAACCACACAAACCATTTAAAAAAATATTCATCATTCATCATCAACCTCGCGCGGTACAGAAAAAAAAACCCAACCACCAACACCAAACAGACAAGGGACAAAAACACATTGGGATTTGTTTGTATACACGTCTTAAAATAAAAGAAAGCAACGGTAGACCGCACGTGTGTACGTGTGTGTCCTTTATGGGGTTTTCTTTCTTCACCGACGATCGACCGCCGAGAGTCTATCCAGAAGTGGCGACCGCGCCGCGGTGTCGGGGGCCTCCTCCCCGCACGCCCAGCACGCGCGCCCCCCTTCGTCTTGTTCTTCGGAGAACAGCAAACTGTCGCTCGATGTCGACACCGCCAGCAGCATGAGCCGCCCGCACACGGGGCAGTTGTCTTGCATTCGCGCGATCGCGGGCGGCTCAACTCTGCGCTGCTCCTCCTCCTCTTTCCTCAAGACTCGGAAGCGATCTCGGAGGCGTATCTGGTCGAGTTCCGTGAACGCGCTCGTTGAGTCTTCCGCAAACCTTTTTCCGCGGGACGACGATCCGCCGGCCGCCCCCTCTCGTCTTTGTTTCCGAGTCATCGTAACGTAGTTGCGGATGCTCTCCGATAAGCTCTTGTTGCGGTTCATCGTGCCCCACCTCTGTCGCGATGTGGTGGTGGTGGTGGTGTATGTTTGTTGCTGGTAACAGTGTGTTTTTCTCTCTAGCGCGAGCGTAAATATGTCATAGTCCGTTCGACGCGCACGTGTGGCACATGTTTCGCTTGCAAGGATCTTCTCGCGCGCAGCCTTCGATCGTGACGATCGCGTGGCTCCGACAGCCCGCGCAGTAAAATTCGTAGATACCGGGATAGACCAGATTCTGTTCTCACTCCCGGCGTTCTTTGGCCCGTGCAATTTGATCCGGTTTGATGCGTTTTGCGCACACGGCGCCCCTCCTCTCTTCTTGCGCAATCCTTCATTTCACTCGCTCCGCTTCCATCGTCTCGAATCGTGTGCCGCCATTGACGCTGCTCGGGGTTTAGAAAAATAATAGCGAACAAAGAACGTTTCGAACCGCTTTTATACATATGTGCGGCATGAGCGCGCGGACCTCGTCCGACCGACCGTGTGCGAATATTCGGTCGGTCGGAAAACAGTAAGAGAAAATCATGTGTAAACAACAATAATACAAACCAGATCGGTGGTGTGTGTTTTTTTGTTTTGTTTGTTTTTCCCTCGACGACAACCCTCTGCACGTGAGTTGAAAACTTCCGCAAGACCACCACCACCATATATACATATATATAT